TAGTCTGTTGATATTTCGTTCGTTTAACGTTTCGATGTTTCGTTCGGATTGCATTGACCTAAGTTTGGTCTAATAAAAGTGAAGCCTTGGAGCATATACATTGTATTAACCCCATTTAATGTTGTTGTTATGTTCAAAGCCAGTAGCAAGCACACACCCTGAAACGGGAAATAGTGATACAAATTACTCCACCATGTGATACAACTCACCCAAGCCATGGGGCAAGTTGTATCGAAAACATTGTTCTATTCGGCAGCCCGTAGAAGAAAAACTGGTAGAGGTAACGGAAAAGTTACTTGGCACGAAAAAGCAGAAGAATCAAGGAAGGAGATAGTATGGAAATAATGAGTTTATCACGGATAGTTACGAGGTTATGGGTCTCGGAGTAAAAACTGATACAACCCACCCCACTCTCCCCTACTTACTTTTATGAATTCAGTGTTTTTCCACGCTTGGAATTTGTTTGAGTTCGGATCACCCTGTGCTGTAGATCCATTGACGTCATTATCGTGAGGGTCGCTTTGCTTTTCGTAAATTTTTTTGACAACACTTTATTAATTCAGCCTAGGCATGTAGGCATGTCATGGCCTACATTGTGTGCGAGTTTCAGCTTGATCGGAGGTGTCCCGAATCTGGGCTGAATCCGGGCTGCGACGTATTGAGTGTCGTTTATTTGCACATTTTGACCTGCCAAGGTCAAACGGGGTCACATATCGAAAAGCGGTTTTTAAGGAAAGTTACTACGGCCTATGGGCTACCCGATGATGTGCTTTGATTTGGAATTCGGTCAATCCATCTACTCGAAAACTGCTGTGCAAGTGTATTTTCGACATAGCCCACAAATGACCTTAGGTCATCACATGACCTTGAGAGGTCAAATGCGTGTTGGGAAAGTAAGATTAGATGCTGGCGAGTCGATTGGTGCCATTTTTAGCGCTCTAGCTCTACTGGGTGGGCCACAATCTGCTGTGCAAATTTGGGCCACGTGACCTTTGCTGACCTCTGTAGGTCAAACGGCAGGGAGTGCCACCGAATGACTTGGACTGTGAATTGGGCATGTCATGGCCTACATTGTGTGCGAGTTTCAGCTTGATCGGAGGTGTCCCGAATCTGGGCTGAATCCGGGCTGCGACGTATTGAGTGTCGTTTATTTGCACATTTTGACCTGCCGAGGTCAAACGGGGTCACATATCGAAAAGCAGTTTTTTAGGAAAGTTACTACAGCCTATGGGCTACCCGATGATGTGCTTTGATTTGGAATTCGGTCAATCCATCTACTCGAAAACTGCTGTGCAAGTGTATTTTCGACATAGCCTACAAATGACCTTAGGCCATCGCATGACCTTGAGAGGTCAAATGAGTATTGGCAAAGTAAGATTAGATGCTGGCGAGTCGATTGGTGCCATTTTTAGCGCTCTAGCTCTACTGGGTGGGCCACAATCTGCTGTGCAAATTTGGGCCACGTGACCTTTGCTGACCTCTGTAGGTCAAACGGCTGGGAGTGCCACCGAATGACTGGGACTGTGAATTGGGCATGTCATTGCCTACATTGTGTGCGAGTTTCAGCTTGATCGGAGGTGTCCCGAATCTGGGCTGAATCCGGGCTGCGACGTATTGAGTGTCGTTTATTTGCACATTTTGACCTGCCAAGGTCAAACGGGGTCACATATCGAAAAGCGGTTTTTAAGGAAAGTTACTACGGCCTATGGGCTACCCGATGATGTGCTTTGATTTGGAATTCGGTCAATCCATCTACTGGAAAACTGCTGTGCAAGTGTATTTTCGACATAGCCCACAAATGACCTTAGGTCATCGCATGACCTTGAGAGGTCAAATGAGTGTTGGGAAAGTAAGATTAGATGCTGGCGAGTCGATTGGTGCCATTTTTAGCGCTCTAGCTCTACTGGGTGGGCCACAATCTGCTGTGCAAATTTGGGCCACGTGACCTTTGCTGACCTCTGTAGGTCAAACGGCTGGGAGTGCCACCGAATGACTTGGACTGTGAATTGGGCATGTCATGGCCTACATTGTGTGCGTGTTTCAGCTTGATCGGAGGTGTCCCGAATCTGGGCTGAATCCGGGCTGCGACGTATTGAGTGTCGTTTATTTGCACATTTTGACCTGCCAAGGTCAAACGGGGTCACATATCGAAAAGCGGTTTTTAAGTAAAGTTACTACGGCCTATGGGCTACCCGATGATGTGCTTTGATTTGGAATTCGGTCAATCCATCTACTCGAAAACTGCTGTGCAAGTGTATTTTCGACATAGCCCACAAATGACCTTAGGTCATCGCATGACCTTGAGAGGTCAAATGAGTGTTGGGAAAGTAAGATTAGATGCTGGCGAGTCGATTGGTGCCATTTTTAGCGCTCTAGCTCTACTGGGTGGGCCACAATCTGCTGTGCAAATTTGGGCCACGTGACCTTTGCTGACCTCTGTAGGTCAAACGGCTGGGAGTGCCACCGAATGACTTAGACTGTGAATTGGGCATGTCATGGCCTACATTGTGTGCGAGTTTCAGCTTGATCGGAGGTGTCCCGAATCTGGGCTGAATCCGGGCTGCGACGTATTGAGTGTCGTTTATTTGCACATTTTGACCTGCCAAGGTCAAACGGGGTCACATATCGAAAAGCGGTTCTTAAGGAAAGTTACTACGGCCTATGGGCTACCCGATGATGTGCTTTGATTTGGAATTCGGTCAATCCATCTACTCGAAAACTGCTGTGCAAGTGTATTTTCGACATAGCCCACAAATGACCTTAGGTCATCGCATGACCTTGAGAGGTCAAATGAGTGTTGGGAAAGTAAGATTAGATGCTGGCGAGTCGATTGGTGCCATTTTTAGCGCTCTAGCTCTACTGGGTGGGCCACAATCTGCTGTGCAAATTTGGGCCACGTGACCTTTGCTGACCTCTGTAGGTCAAACGGCTGGGAGTGCCACCGAATGACTTGGACTGTGAATTGGGCATGTCATGGCCTACATTGTGTGCGAGTTTCAGCTTGATCGGAGGTGTCCCGAATCTGGGCTGAATCCGGGCTGCGACGTATTGAGTGTCGTTTATTTGCACATTTTGACCTGCCGAGGTCAAACGGGGTCACATATCGAAAAGCAGTTTTTTAGGAAAGTTACTACAGCCTATGGGCTACCCGATGATGTGCTTTGATTTGGAATTCGGTCAATCCATCTACTCGAAAACTGCTGTGCAAGTGTATTTTCGACATAGCCTACAAATGACCTTAGGCCATCGCATGACCTTGAGAGGTCAAATGAGTATTGGCAAAGTAAGATTAGATGCTGGCGAGTCGATTGGTGCCATTTTTAGCGCTCTAGCTCTACTGGGTGGGCCACAATCTGCTGTGCAAATTTGGGCCACGTGACCTTTGCTGACCTCTGTAGGTCAAACGGCTGGGAGTGCCACCGAATGACTGGGACTGTGAATTGGGCATGTCATTGCCTACATTGTGTGCGAGTTTCAGCTTGATCGGAGGTGTCCCGAATCTGGGCTGAATCCGGGCTGCGACGTATTGAGTGTCGTTTATTTGCACATTTTGACCTGCCAAGGTCAAACGGGGTCACATATCGAAAAGCGGTTTTTAAGGAAAGTTACTACGGCCTATGGGCTACCCGATGATGTGCTTTGATTTGGAATTCGGTCAATCCATCTACTCGAAAACTGCTGTGCAAGTGTATTTTCGACATAGCCCACAAATGACCTTAGGTCATCGCATGACCTTGAGAGGTCAAATGAGTGTTGGGAAAGTAAGATTAGATGCTGGCGAGTCGATTGGTGCCATTTTTAGCGCTCTAGCTCTACTGGGTGGGCCACAATCTGCTGTGCAAATTTGGGCCACGTGACCTTTGCTGACCTCTGTAGGTCAAACGGCTGGGAGTGCCACCGAATGACTTGGACTGTGAATTGGGCATGTCATGGCCTACATTGTGTGCGTGTTTCAGCTTGATCGGAGGTGTCCCGAATCTGGGCTGAATCCGGGCTGCGACGTATTGAGTGTCGTTTATTTGCACATTTTGACCTGCCAAGGTCAAACGGGGTCACATATCGAAAAGCGGTTTTTAAGTAAAGTTACTACGGCCTATGGGCTACCCGATGATGTGCTTTGATTTGGAATTCGGTCAATCCATCTACTCGAAAACTGCTGTGCAAGTGTATTTTCGACATAGCCCACAAATGACCTTAGGTCATCGCATGACCTTGAGAGGTCAAATGAGTGTTGGGAAAGTAAGATTAGATGCTGGCGAGTCGATTGGTGCCATTTTTAGCGCTCTAGCTCTACTGGGTGGGCCACAATCTGCTGTGCAAATTTGGGCCACGTGACCTTTGCTGACCTCTGTAGGTCAAACGGCTGGGAGTGCCACCGAATGACTTAGACTGTGAATTGGGCATGTCATGGCCTACATTGTGTGCGAGTTTCAGCTTGATCGGAGGTGTCCCGAATCTGGGCTGAATCCGGGCTGCGACGTATTGAGTGTCGTTTATTTGCACATTTTGACCTGCCAAGGTCAAACGGGGTCACATATCGAAAAGCGGTTCTTAAGGAAAGTTACTACGGCCTATGGGCTACCCGATGATGTGCTTTGATTTGGAATTCGGTCAATCCATCTACTCGAAAACTGCTGTGCAAGTGTATTTTCGACATAGCCCACAAATGACCTTAGGTCATCGCATGACCTTGAGAGGTCAAATGAGTGTTGGGAAAGTAAGATTAGATGCTGGCGAGTCGATTGGTGCCATTTTTAGCGCTCTAGCTCTACTGGGTGGGCCACAATCTGCTGTGCAAATTTGGGCCACGTGACCTTTGCTGACCTCTGTAGGTCAAACGGCTGGGAGTGCCACCGAATGACTTGGACTGTGAATTGGGCATGTCATGGCCTACATTGTGTGCGAGTTTCAGCTTGATCGGAGGTGTCCCGAATCTGGGCTGAATCCGGGCTGAATCTGGGCTGAATATGGGCTGTCTTGACGGACATCTCCTGTGGCAGGTTCTCCGGCCGGACCGTGCTGTGTGGACCGGCGAGGAGGACCAAACGGTCCACAGACGACAGCTGGACAGACATCTTAGCCGACGGCACCGCGAAAATGCCGGGTAAACATTCCATCATAAGACTGATAACGAATCCATCTCTTTACTGATATGGCACCCTTTCAGCCTATCTCAATCATGTTACCAATCCTGTAGCGAACAACTCCCACAACAAGCCTTCAATCTGCTCAGCCTCAGATTATAATATTCATTCGAACGAAACATAAGGTATAGATGGATTATTGCCCACATTCCCTCCGCAGACACCAAATGGTGCGGCGCCGGCACCAGTGCCACCAGCTACGACGACCTGGGGTCGGCCCGAGCCACCGACCTCTGCTGTCGGCAGCACGACCACTGTCCGGTGTCGCTGGAAGCTGGCGAGGCGCGAGGCGGTGTCACCAACACCGGGCACTTTACACGGTCAGTGGGGGCGGGGGAGGGGGTCAATGATGGCTTGGACGGAAGGCTGACGGAATTTGACTGAAGATTAGTATTTACTTGTTTGTTTGTTTAACATCTAGTCCTGACCGGCCATACCGCTTTCGTAATCATCACGGTTGTTGCCAATATACCGTGTTTGGTCACCGTGGTTTATTGCTAAAATCCTCGTAAGAAACAATGGAAAAGGATTACGTTATATTTGTAACCATGTCGCATTAGCATTTCATGTTATCCGACGCCGTTTCATCCGTGCATTGGCCCATATACCTAACTGACCAGACGTTTGTTTTCAGATCTGACTGTGAATGTGACGCAGCGTTTTTCCACTGTCTGGTCAAGGCTGCCACGGTGCATTCACAACTAGTGGGAGAGCTCTACTTCAACCTTCTGGAGCCAGACTGTATCGAGAGCAGCACTACACGAAGTGAGAGGTACGTACGGTTCACAAATGTCTATAAATAGTGGGCGCGAAAGGCCAGAGGCAGGACTTTGTTTGAGTGTAGGGACGAGAGAAGGAACTGTTATGTTTGCACCTGCTCATAGTCATATTCCAGCTGAAATACTCATTAGACCGATTTAATTTAGTGTATATTTATAAACAATCTAGCACAAGCTTTTAACTCGCGCAGCTGACCAGCACCTTATGCTACAGGCGTGAGGAAACTCGTGAGGAACAGAATCAGGCCAAAGACCAAGAACCCTCCGAGGACCAGGACCAGGACCAGACCCGGGACCGGTCTCCTCAGCGGGCTGTGCGTCTGCGGTTCGTCCGCCAGCCGCTGGCCGGTCAGTTTCCCGAGCCACCCAATGAAGAGGCGATGGCAGACCGGGCCGAGGCGCTGGCCGCCAGGGCACTTGGTGTATTCACTGCGGGGAGGTAGTTGGACTATAGCGGGCGGACAGCGGAGTTCACACGGCGAGACCGACACCGCGGGGCCGGGGCATTTGGTAGAGGATGGGTGTGGAGTGGACTGTGGGTCCGACTGTGTTTTAGTTCACAATAAATCAGACAGATTTTACACGATACTGATATGAACGTGTCTGAAACAATGTAAAAAGTAACTATGACGAATGTTGGTAAGATCATCGCTTCAGCGCGCCATATGGTTAAATTCCAACGATCCTATACGCTTCGTTCGCTATCTTGCGGCGGATGAATCGGAATAAGGAAGAAGAATAAGACATTGCGTACCCGATTTGTAACACATATGTATTGCAGAACAGTCCGGTACGGAAGCGACAATGCAGCTCCGTGCACAAATCCTGCGCTGGGATGCATCCGTACATTTTCTGATAGTTTTCAGCTCATCGTAGTTCCAATATACACACTACACAGGGTCATGTGCTATAAGTAACACGACAGAGCAATGCATCAGTGACAGTTATAGCAGTTTCCTTCCGCCCACCACAATCAGTTCCATGATTCGTCAGCACAGGCGCAGTAATACAAAAAACTGGGATAATGGCAAGCAGTATTGTATCTACTATCCTTCCACTGACACGCACAGCTAAAGAAAGAGGACAGGGGAGTAGAGAGGACTCCACGAGGACTCCATAAGGGAGGACTCTCTGGCCGTCCCATTACCTCTCAGGTGGTGCCGTCCTCCGAGAGGACAGTGCCGAGGAACTCCGTGAGGATTCCTCCCGGCCAGGAGGACGAGGACTGGGTGGCCGGCAGCTCCGGCGGCTCCGGAGAATCGGAACTAGGCAGGCTCGGAGGGGGGTAGCTCAGGATGGTCTCGACGGTTAGCTGGAACACAGAGCAGGACAGTGAGGGCAGAGGACAGGAGACAGGGTGAGATAGAGACAGGGAGAGGGCAGGGAGGTAATAGGGGGCGGGGAGGGGACAGGGAGGTGATAAGAGGCGGGGATAGATCAGGATCGTCTCGACGGTTAGCTGAAACACAGAGCAGGGAAGTGAGTCGAGAGGACAGGACAAAGTGTAAAGAGAGGTTATACAGTATGCCACCCATCAGACCGGCGGCCGGGCGCGCTAGTGGCAACTCGCGGGTTCACGCGTCAATTAGATGTACCGTGACCACCGTAAACCGCCAGTCAGTTAGGGGAGAGGAAGCGGAAATGACCGGGGCTAAGTGACGAGGCTCTATCACACGGTCATTAGTACGGGATGGGCGTACTGTCGCGGCAGACAAAGCACCCCGCAACACAGCTGAGATTCACCGGGCGGACGGGCTGCGCGCTTACTTGATCGGGCTATAGGTGAGGGAATTACTAACGGGGATGGCAAAGATTGTCATGAATGGCACGACGGGGTACTGGCCCGGGTCTGGCCCAAAAACACACAATACTGACACTCTGTACACAGACACGCAGTAAGTCAGCTACAAACATCCCTGATTGGCTCGACTGTCGTAGATCGAACTGATCTACGGTATGGTTAATATCATACATGTGGGTTCAGACTAGGTTAGTTTCGAGGACTAAGCAGATGACTACGATATCAACTCAAATGCAACGAGCTCCCTTTACAATGATTCGCAAGCACCTGCTGTCTACAAATTCTGAAACAGCAGCAGCAATTATTATACTCGCAAATGCAAATCACGTAAGCTATCAATACACGAACATACCGTAGAGTGTAACTAACACCTCAGCAAGGCGGCACAATATACCTCTGCAAAAACCTTCATGACCGACTGGCGGTTCTAAGCACAACACATTCAGCATTTCAGAAAACTAGCCCAAACTCTTACATCTACACACAAATCAAAATCTAAGGCATCGAATATGAAACCCGTGACGATTATCCGTTGCCATGAAGCACCAGCGAAAGCACAAGGCATGACTTCAAGCATTTGCGCGTCGCACATTCTAATCTCTCACACTGTTCATCTAGCAGTGTTACCACATCCTGCATTCAACTCGTAGCACGAGCCACAGTCTGTAGCACCACACCTGTCAGTTCACGTGGCACGTATTGCACTTCACGTGTTCGTCCATATGCCCCCTGGCGGCACGAAGCACGAGACTTGCCCACGTGACGAGAGTACAGTACCTCTCTACCAGTCTCTACCAGAACCTCCCTGTATTGTTTTGCCACCACAGCAGAGGGTTCTTCCTTGGTATAGTCCGGCACACCCGGCTCGCGTACGAACACACGGGGCTATCGAGAGCTTCCAGGGTTCTACACAGAGCATGTCGTCGGGTGACATAGGGTAAGAGTTCAAACCTGGGGGCAGCTCAGGTGACGAGCGACCACAATTTTCTGACCGTTGTCTCATTAACTTGACACAAGCCCAAGGCTTGATCAAAGAATTTCTCTTCGTCCACTTAAAAAGTCAACACTCCCTCTTCCGTCTTCACTCTTGACCAGTCAAACTACTGGCCTCTTTGATCTCTATCCCTAGCGCATTTCGACTCTCTAGCCTCTAGCCATCTACAAAACACTAGCTCCTAGCACGCAGCTCCGTCCTCTGAAAACTCCACCCATCACCTATCTCTCTATCTGTGGCTCCCTCCCCGGCGTCCCCTAGGCGATGTTACATGCCTGCGGCGAGGCAGCGGCGCTCTCCAGAGCGGCCGTGGCGTCGATGTCGTCCAGGGCCGTCATGGGCCGCGTCAGCAGGTGGTGGACCACGGTGCGGGCCAGGTAGCCGGCGGTGGCGGACGGAGGCAGCTGGAAGAACCCGTCCAGCTCACTGGTCGTGCCGCCCTCGCCGCCGTCCTGTCAGAAGAGGGACGGGAGGGGAGGGGAGGGTCAGAACGCTTAGAGGGGGATGGGTGCCGGATATGCATGCGTGGTTAGGCAGTGCCTTGTCAAAATGGTAACAATGAGTCAGAATGGTCAACAGAGCAAGAAACTATTTAGTGTAATTATGAATAGATGGTCAAGATTCCAGACCCAAAACAGATAGCACGAAAGATGAGCTCCAAGATGGTTTGAGAACAACAAAGTTAATTGGCCTTTAGCATTTAAGGATACAGCTGATGAAAATGTGTTCTTGAGAAATAAGCGAGGTAAGTTTCTTTGGAAAGTTGGAAAGTTGCTCAACACATGAAATGCCTACCAAACACGCATAGCCAAAGTTATCGCTATTGCTAAAAGCAGACGGACGCTACAAGCTTTGTAGTTCGTAGCTTGATTCTCGTAATGCAATGCATTGAAACGAACGCTGGAAAGCGTGGGGTCAAGAGCGTCGTCAGCCCTGAAAAAGCCAGCTTGAGAGATCCCTTAAAAAGCCGACCTGAGATTTATGCCAGCACTGGTCAACGAACAAGCGATCGCCAAAGATCTTGATAGGCATGAGAAGCCACCTCAAAGCATAAGAAGCGCAAAGAACTTAGTCACCAATCACCACTCCATATGGCTTAGTCACAACACACATACAAAAGCCTTTAGGGGCCAACAAGCCCACACAGTTCAGACGAACAAAGCTCATGTGTTCCTCAGACGGAGTGGCAGTGCACTTGACTCACGACTGTACCGTTCGTACCCATGAGTGTGAATGTGTTTCTGATCTACGTGACAATTACAGGGAATGATCACTAGTCACTATACACCACACACAGTGTCCTGACTGTTTTCTCGACAGTAACCGTTCAAGACCTAACCGTCTCTATCGGACACAACTAGCGCATGACCAGCCCAGGTCACCGGTAAGCACGCCCTGCACGCCCCGCACGCCGAGCCCCGTGGGTGCACGCCTCGCGGACCTCTGTTCCGACCGTGCTGTGCCGCCGGGAGCCCGCGTACACGAACCGTCGGCGAAACACGTCAGTTCGGCCGTATGGCAGGGGCAGGTTCACGTCCTGGTAGAGGGCGGTAGACCGGTCGGTAGAACGACCACAGACAGTTATAGGGAGCTGATTGGGGCCGACTGAACCGAGCAAATCGACAGCTCACTATGTGCCCTGGGGTTTAGTGATTTTAGTCGATAAACTGCTCCGACTAACGACTGAAAGGGTTCGACTGTAAGGGTATCTTCTGCAACACACTAGTTTATAACGTAGAACGGTAACATGGAATGAACGAAAACCAACGTACGATTCATGAATGGCCATATTCAAAACCCGAAGAAGCAATTATTGTCTAACTGACAGAAAGACAGCATCCCACCCAGCAGCTCAATTGTCAGTGTCCCGTCTGCGACTCCCCACCTGTCCCACACCACACAGCCAATCTCACGCCTCACCTTGAGGTAGAGCCGGTGCGCCTCGTCGACCATCTGGGAGAGCTCGATGCAGCCGCGGAAACTCAGCTCCGGATTACGCTCCAGGATGGTGGCTATCAGCGCAATCAGCTGTCGAAGGGAGGGAGGGAGGTTATGTTATATTCAGTTGGTCGTCGGGGTTGTATGAAAAAGTAGAGGTCGGGGAGTTGCACGTTTGTGGAAAACGGACTGACAGCGTGCACGGAAAAGCTTATGTAAGAAAGCAAGCGTTGGAGAAAAATAAAAAAGACGTCCTCTACGGTCCCGTTCTTTCTAAAAAAAAAGGTGAACAATGCACGTTAAACGAATTGCAGTGCAATGGAGCTAATCAAACACGAAAACCAATGAGCAGCACAGCTGATACGATACAAGCACTTGAACAAGAGCCCCGAAGCTAACGATAAAACCAGGGCCCAAACAACTCGTCCAGAATCCAGACACATCAACACCGTTTTCTCCTACCCATCTAGGTGACCTCCCTTAAAGTAACCCCACTTGAGCTTACCCAGCCCTCCTCAAGCTAGTCACGCCACACAACATCGACCACCCACCCACCCACCTCTCCTCCCGACCCGACCCTCCCCGCGTCCGCACCTGCACCACGATCTGTCGGAGCTCCGGCTGCGGACACTGGGCCAGCATGTCGTTCACCAGGATAGCGAACCGCAGCTCCCCGACAGTCATGTCGGTGATGGTGGGCGACTGGGGCAGGTGGCGCTGGCCGATCGTCAGGCCGCCGGCCGTGCGGCCCAGGATGAACCACACAGAGCTGTGCAGGTTGCGCGGACTGCGGCCCAGGCAGCCGTCAATCTGACGCTGCTGGCGCGGCGTGATGCTGCCGGAGGAAGAGCGGAGGGAGAGAGTGTTAGGTGGAACGGACACCCACCCCCCCCAACCGTTTTATTGATTGACAATGGACACGTAATAGCCACTCTGCTGTGGAGTGTCTGCTGAAGTGAATACAGAATACACTCAAGGCAATATCACCTGAGTGGTGACTACTTAGGGCGGGCAACTAAGTCTGTGATAATGTCGGCAAGATTAACGCGAAATTCAACATAATCAATGCGGATGATTTCGTTTAGAATCATTCAGCACATTCAGACAAACAACTGCCGTAGCGGGCAATCACCTGAAGTTAAAAAACTTTCTGCCTAGATAGCAGCAGACTAGGCCTAAGCAAGGCAGATACTCATATCAGACGAACGATTACGTGTAACTATCCATGGACAGAATCCCGTAAACTATCCTCACCTGATGTTGCAGGAGTTGCTGTCCAGTGAGAGCACGTTGTAGAGGAGCGCGCGGACCTCGCTGGGCGCCATCTCGGCGATAGGCTGCTCGCGCCCCTCGATCCTGCTGTACAGCTCCATGGCCTGCAGGAACCAGCTGTATAGGGGAGGGGTGGCACACAGTCATAGAATAGCCAGTACAGTATGTACAGTCCGCACTGATCAGGTGCCAGATGGTATCCATTTCAGTGAGATATCATTTTCACTGATTAGCGCGGAGGTTCAATGCCTTGTGGCAAAGGACGTGATGCAATTTGATACTAATTTCTAGCTAATAGCTGCAGCACTCCTTCGCCTTCGTATGGCCATTTTAACACCTCTCGCTGCTTTGATGTGATCCTCACGCTACCCTTCCATCACACCTTCCCCGGTAGCTCACCCGATCCTGATTGTGAGTATGGTCAGTATGGTGAGCAGCTCACCCGATCCCGATGGTCAGTATGGTGAGTAATGAGTATGGTGAGCAGCTCACCCGATCCTGATTGTGAGTATGGTCAGTACGGTGAGCAGCTCACCCGATCCGGGTGGTCAGTATGGTGAGTATGGTGAATCGCTCACCCGATCCTAATGGTCAGTATGGTGAGCAGCTCACCCGATCCTGATGGTCAGTATGCCGGCGAAGAGGTCTGGCCGGGTGAGGATGAGCCGTCCACTGCAGAGGACCAGCTCCTGCTGCAGCACCGCCTGTATCACGTCCAGCGGCCGCACAGAGCCGAAGAACAGCGACTCGATCTCGGCCGGCGTCAGCGGCTTGTCAATCACCACCTCCGGCTGGCCGATCACGCCGATAGCGAACTGAAAGAGCGAGGGAAGGGAGGGTTAGACGGGCAAGAGGTAGCCAGGGGGCTAGAAAAGGGAAAGCGGTACTGGTATGATACCTATGCTAATTGAGAGATTCTGATGCTGTCTCTGACTTCAGTTGTTTAAAAAGAGCAGTTTCAGGGTCTGATGTCAGAGGTCCGCATGGCTCTGAGTCTGTACTGACCTGTTGTCCGGGCAAGAGGATAGCCGTCAGGTAGGGGCTGATGCTGTCTATGGAGTGGTTTCAGAGGTCCGACACTGACCTGTTTCCCGGAGACGAGGATGGCCGTCAGGTAGGGGCTGATGCTGTCTATAGAGTGGTTTCAGAGGTCCGATACTGACCTGTTTTCCGGACACGAGTATGGCCGTCAGGTAGGGGCTGATGCTGTCTATAGAGTGGTTTCAGAGGTCTGAGACTGACCTGTTTCCCGGAGACGAGTATGGCCGTCAGGTAGGGGCAGATGCTGTCTATGGAGTGGTTTTAGAGGTCCGATACTGACCTGTTTTCCGGAGACGAGTATGGCCGTCAGGTAGGGGCTGATGCTGTCCACCACGCGGCCCAGCAGGCTGCTGCAGAAGCGCAGCACTGACCAGCAGCGCAGCGTGCCTGCCTCACTGTTGAGCTGAACGAGTCGCTGGTGCACTGACGGAACGCACGCACGAGAACTGGTGAGCGCAGGAGTACGAGCATAGTGGGACAAATACATCGTCTCGGGTCGCATTTAGAAGACGAAAATAAAGTAGCCCTTCCCCACCCTAAATCAATACAGTCATTATCTGAACAGTTCGCTGGTGAAATGCAATGTTTCGCATCAATATTTATCACGCTGGCTTTGAACAGAGACGCCCGTAGAAACACGACCTCCCCTCGTGCCCTCACCAGTCCCACCCCCCAGTCTCCCCTTTCCTCACCAGTAACACCCTCGAGCTGATAGTCGGGCCCATGCCGGTCGAGCAGCAGTTTGAGGATGTAGCTCCTGCCGCGCAGCGTGCTGATACCCCGCCAGATGTGCTGCAGCTCGTGGTCAGACTTGTGCTGCAGCTCCTGTGACGGAAGACGGGTGTTCGGTCAGTCGGTCACAGAACACAGCTGGTACACGTCACAGGAGTAGCTCATTGGTTACATGTCAAAAACACAGGTAGGGTTCACAGAGGGATGATAGGATTACATTGGGTGGTAACACACCCCCCAGTTGCTTTCCGTTACATTCGGAGTTAGCGTTGTGCACCACATCTAAAGGCGGATGTTCAGTCACGCCTACATCCGTTTATTCGAACGAATGAGGGTAGAAAACAGTAAGCACCAGGTACCCCACTTTACAAACCTGTATGGTGAGCGGTTCAATCTCGCTATGGATGGTCGCTGTAGGATCCTGGTAGGTGCCCCCCCCCCCCGTCAGACCCCGTTAGCTGGTAAGTCCTCCCGGCTCCCACTAACCTGAATGGTGAGCGGCTCCGTCTCATTGTAGATGGTCGCTGTGGGGATGTCGGTGAGGCTCTGGTAGCCCACCGTTTTGTTGGCCAATTCCCGGAACGGCTCCGGCTCCACGCCCCAGTCCTCGGCGGCGTCCATAAAGTCCAGGTGCTCTGAGGGGCAGCGCAGAAAACCGTTGTCAGTGAGGTGACTTACAGTGAGGCGGTCATGGCTATCATCTCTTCTGGCGGGGTCGAACGAGTTTACACAATGTCGGACCTTATTTCTTTTCTAATAGACCTTAGTCGTGACTCTTTGCTAAAGCCATCTTTCTGACACAACAACTAAAAGAAACAACAACAAACAACAAAACGTAACTTTGTGATTGTATGGTCAGATGTTACCGAGAAGGCTAGACACAGTCCACGTTAGCTCTTCGGTCCTCCTCCCGGCACCTCGGTACCGTCCGTCTCCGTGACGTGCCGTCTCACCGGTGCACGATGAGGACATGAGGTTCTGCAGTCGTCCCACGCGCACCTTGACGCCCTCGCAGGAGCCCGTCTTCAGCATGGCCAGCAGGTCCACCATCTTACGGAAGTTGGTGTCCCTGCGCGGAGACGGGCGGCGGATACAGCCGCGTTGTTAGACTCAGTAATATGAGGACTTGAATATTTGCGGAATTCATATTCATCATAACCTTGCACTGTGCAGCTTTAAAACACGTAAGCTCGACTGGTACCGACAAATTTAGTCAGCAGCCCTCATATAATTGGAATTTAAATCCCGATGTAAGACAATTAAGCTCCGTTAAAAGTCATGCGTGTCTCTTATATAAAACCCATCCCCACTTCATGCAGGGTTCCTTCACGTTATCCCACTTTTTGCCGTCATCGTCATCGAATGCATGAAATGGAGACACCAAGTGAAGATTCACGATGTGTTACCTCATGTGCGTCTCCTTCATGATGAGACAGCAGGTGGGCCGACCGGAAAGGCGCCAATAGCGGCCGACGAACTGGATCTCCGACTTGATGTCGTCAATGAGCAGCGCCATATCGTGGTTCAGGTAGAAGTCGGTGCTGTCGAAGATCAGCGGGTAGCAGAGCACCGTCTGGCCAGAGATCCGGTACACCTGGCGGGGGCAGACCAGGGGGCGAATGAGATGTGGAGCTAATGAGGAAACGCATGTGTAAAACTGGGAATAAAATAACTTCTAGTTTGATACACATTCCGATCATCACAGTCTGTTCTCAAGGGCTGTTCACGTCCTGACTGGTCGCCATCCCAATTCTCAACCTTACCTTACTGACGTAAGACCAGAGGCCAATTGGTCTCCGGTACTCGATACTTACCTTGCTGGTGCCGAGAGCTCCAATGGGCCGGGGCGGACGGCCCTCCAGGCCCAGCTTCCAGTTGACGCCCAGGTTACGGTACACCTACAGGAGACCACAAGCACACCGTTAGAGCTCGGCAGATACCGAAATGCAGAGTACTGAGAGAGAATAATGAATTGAAGCTACACATAAGTTGCAAGAAAGCAGTATGGCGGAGTCAAGAGTAATAGACGGGTGAAAGACAGCCCACTCGCGAAATCGCACTACTCTACTCACGTCATATCAAGTGACATAAACCACAGTGCCAACTAAGCCGTAAAATGAATCGCAACGCTTTGTCGAGCGTTGAAAGCTCTGAAAAAAGACCAACCGGTATGACGTGCTGACAATCCCTGACTCCCCAGAGTGCGACTTGCCTGCACGAGCTGTTTCTGGGACCAGATCTGGACGGGCTCGACCTCCTTGGGCGTCTGAGACTGGATGCCGTAGGTGGCCAGCATGGCCTGAAGACGGCGGGACTCGGCGACAAGCACCACCTGAACCACCAGGTCACTGGCCGTGCCCTGAGGGTCAGGTCAGGTCAGGTCTGGTGAGATGATCTCAAGGTCACTGGCCGTGCCCTGGGAGTTAGATCAGGGCGTCAGTGCCAGCTGAACCACCAGGTCACTGGCCGTGCCCTGAGGGTCAGGTCAGGGCGTCAGCACCACCTGAACCACCAGGTCACTGGCCGTGCCCTGTGGGTCAGGTCAGGGCGTCAGTGCCACCTGAACCACCAGGTCACCGGCCGTGCCCTGGGGGTCAGGTCAGGGCGTCAGTGCCACCTGCACCACCAGGTCACCGGCCGTGCCCTGTGGGTCAGGTCAGGGCGTCAGTGCCACCTGAACCACCAGGTCACTGGCAGTGCCCTGGGGGTCAGGTCAGGTCAGGTCAGGTCATCAGTAGGCGGCACCACCAGGTCACTGGCCGTGCCCTGGGGGTCAGGTCAGGTCATCAGTAGGCGGCACCACCAGGTCACTGGCCGTGCCCTGGGGGTCAGGTCAGGACATCAGTACCACCTGAACCACCAGGTCACTGGCCGTGCCCTGAGGGTTAGGTCAGGGCGTCAGTGCCACCTGAACCACCAGGTCACTGGCCGTACCCTGTGGGTCAAGTCAGGTCAGGTCTAGTGAGATGATCTCCAGGTCACTGGCAGTGCCCTGTGGACCAAGTCAGGTCACTTGAAATTAGGTCTCGCATATTCTTACCACCTCCATTGTCAGCATTTGAAAGTAGCAATCAGTACCACCTGCAACACCGAAAATGTCACCAATTTTCCTCGCGTCAAACGTTACATCAAAGCACATCAAATGTTCGTCAGGCTACATCATAGCACCGGATGTATCTTGAAAGTTAGCTTAGGTCAGACCTGGCCACATCAATCAAATATGGCTCGTACATTTCCGGTCACGCCAGAGCGGGTCACATACAGCCGTAGCCATAGGGTCGACAGGCGTGCCCTGGAGCCATTCATGGTACACGGAGCAAACATGCACCACTATAGGTACCCCTAGCACCATTTACAATATAGCAAATGCAGCTTAAAATACTAATCCAGGATAACTTGCACCCATTGTTTAAAAGCGACTCCAGTATGACAAAGATTGCGTCCAGTACACCGATACATCAATATGTACAAACATCAAGGCACCGCACATCGCCACGAGCGAGGCATGATCAACAATCCGCCCTCCAACTGGTAAGTCAGATTTTAGTCACCACACATACACACAGGTTCCGTCCAGCAATCACAGAGCCCTGGTGGACCCTAGTAGCTGAAACAGACTCTTCCGCTAGGTTTCTACAAAGGTACTATCCCGCTAACAAGCCTTGAAACGCACACAACAGCTTTGTCAGTTGCCTTATAAACCAGTGAGCAGGAGGTCTCTAATCGCGAACACACAGACACACGCACGTATAACGCACACGCACACGCAGCCATAGTTTACGCACACACACATACAGACCGGTCTCCATTATCGCACGACAGTCATTGTTGCATAGGTCGCACAGCGCGGGTGAGCCGGGGGTCTGCCAGTCCCTTCCTGCCACTCCTGCCTCCGTCTCAAATACGGCATTACGTCTGCATGCTATCACTACTACCTCCGCAGTCCTGGGCTGAGCCGTCTGCCAATCTATTGCTACTATTCGGGCCAGGCCGGGCGGGATGCCTGAGCGAGGCAAGTCACTACTAGGCCGAGAGGATGGACAGACTGTACAATATCGAGGATGGGTGCCTACAGACGTTTGATGGGTGCCTACAGGCCTCAGATGGGTGCCTAAAGGCGGTAGATGAGTAATTACAGACAGTGGATAGTTGCCTTGGCGGCGGAGATGCCCACAGGCTTGCATGTTCCTGGTTGCTGCGGTAATGGTGCAACAAATCCTCCACTACCATAATTTGTGTGTCAGTCACCAGAGGCGGGGCTCTGAAGCAGGGAGGCGCATGAGTCTCTGTAACGCTAGGACAGCCAGCAGACACCTCGGCTAGACGCGCGCGTAAGCTGACGGTGCGGCAGACACTGGTCTGGGTATCATGCAGAGCGGACGACAGGCGGGCGGGGGGCGCCCCTGCGGGCGTGGGGCGTTACCTCGTTTCGGTTCTGCCGACAGGAGGGTCCTCGCCGGTGTCAAACGGACCACTGACCGGTATGTGGGAGACAGAAAGACAGACAGAGACGGAGCGAATACGGGGAGTCGCGGCGCTGGCCTCGGGGGTTGAAAATCACACACAACGGGGAAAATTGTGGCGTGGCAATAGCGGCGTGTAAACTGTTGACAGCGTGATATACCTGTACTGTAAGCGATTACGTCACTTGGCATATTACTATGTGTACATAAACATTAAACGCTGTAGCTTTTACACAAGAATGCGGCATTACAGGAGCCTTTTTCCACCCGTATTGCACGGTGTGCGCAATGACGAAACTAAGCAAAAAATAGCAATACATCTTATGTCGCTGCAGTAAGCCTTTAGCACACAAAACACAAGCCTTTTTTTACTGATGTATGCGTTTTTCGCAGCAAGTGAATTCCTCAGAAATTTCCACCGGTAATTAGCAGCCTAAAACTCTGAAAAATACTTCAAGCCTAAGGATCCTTATAGCCTTAAACACAAAAGAATCTTTTCAATAATGGTGGTTGCTTAGGAGTACTGATTTGGGAAATGACACAGCAAAACCAACTAATACGGGTTGTGAAACGATAAGTGCAAAGAAAACCAACGCAGTCAACACGATACGAAACCATTCGGTTGTAATGTGAATACACCACACTCAAACCAAAGCTGTGTGTCGATTCTAAAGTAAAAGTGACAAAGAGTTCATTCATGACGGTCTCCAGAAAGAGTGGTTACAACCAAGGCACATTCACCGAGCTCATCAATAACGACTTGTTCGATACCGAACTCATATTTTAAAGACGACCAAACCAACACCAAATCACCCTTCTACACCCATCTGAGGTCGTCTTGAGTGAAATGGTACAGCAACAGACATGCCAGAAAAAAAACTAGCTTGAACTTACCATCAACGACAACAACAGTGTACTACTGTTTGAAGAAACTACTTCTTGAACTACTAAACGGCACTACATCCCACAAAGGAAATGCTTGGTCGAATAACTACACCATGTCCCCGTAGAACCCGAGAGTTTAACGGGAAAACACCAGAGCTCACATTGCGCCCCTTACTCCTGCCGATCTCCGTCACTAAATCAGTCCACCTTACGAGTCCTCCACCTTCAGATCTACTCTCCACCCATCCACCCATCCACCCTCTCCACATTCCACCCGTCCACCCTCTACTCCCCCCGCCCCCACGCACCTGGAACGCCGAGTAGCGCGTGGTGCGGCGCGGCCGGTTGTACGACGGCAGGTACCTCCTGATCAGATCGATCTCATTGATGTGCACCAGTTCCTCGAGCAGCAGCTCCGTCACCACCAGCATGGCCTGGCCCCAGAGGAACAGGTCGCCGGGGCCGCCGACGGCGCTGGCGAACCGCGGCTGGCTGCCCGGCTCGGCCCGCTCGCCGCTCAGGTGCTCCGACGGCACGAAATAGTACTGCGGCAGCGTCGGGTCTGCGGCGCACACAGATAGGGTGGAGACACGGCGCGTGGGGAGGGGGGGGGAGGGAACGGCGGGGAGGGGAGGGAGCATGGGGTGACAGAGAAATGCATAATAGATGTAGAAATTGAGAAAGTACGCTGACCAGTGTTGTTTAAATGTAGCTGGACTGTTGAACGGTTGTATGTAAAATAACGGGATATGGACGAAGACGAATCGACACAAGCACATAATTTCATTTATTAAAATATTATTAGATACTTAAGTAAGGCATTGACTCCCTATCTATCGCGAACCACGCCATCGGCCATATATTCGAAAAGATGACAAAATGAACAGAAAGCCCGGCTAGCTTGAATACTGCAGTATCCACCCAGCATTTATCCGGCATTTGGTGAAACTTAAAAATAATGCGTCTTTAGCATAAAAATATGAGGTTAATATCAGCTTAGCGACACTTCGTCTCTGCAAACAAACGCCGTAATTTTGAAGCCCTGCTGAAATTATTAGCAGGTGGTAAAATCACCTTAGAAGCATACATAAAGCTAGGGATAAGCAATGACGGACACATAGTAAATATGATACTTCTTCCATATAAAGCGCAAACAGGATTATATCCACTGCAATATTCCCGTGCAAAAATGAGTAGAAAAGCGGAATGATCGGTGCAATGTGCATAGCGGAACCGTTTTGAGTAGTGCGCAGATTAGCGTGTGAATGGTCAAAACATGCATGAAATTCGCCAGCGTTTGACGTATAATTTGACTTTTACTTTCCATCTGTTTGCGTGATGGAAAGGTCCATGCAGATCACGGAGCCGTCTTAACCCTCAGTGATCGAAACTTACTGGAAGCCGCTGTAATGGCGGTGAACACAGAGGTCAAGGTCAGATGAAGGTTCACTTCCTAAAAACGGGGAGCATTCCGAGAGCAAACGATGGACGGCATGACAATTCGATGGTTTAAGCAATTCTAAAAACATGCGAGGAGACTGAAGGGGCCAACTGGGGTCTAACTAAGACGAATCCGACAACGTGAATAAGCACAAATTTCAGGGTAAGGTCGCCTAACTACAGGACTGCCAACAACACAGACGTTCACATCGTTACGATCAGACCACCCCTGAAAGAGGGTAAAACTTTCTGCGTTTAGTTATTTTGTGATTAATCAGACAAAGACATGATTTTACTAAATTGGTGTAGAAACGACGCTGTGCATGTCGCATGACTCTAGTGAGTTCTCTAATCTAGTGTTGAAGACCTTCGATCTTCTAATGTACTTGTGCGGCGACACCGTATGGCCTGAACGGCATGACTTCAAAATAATCTACCGCTTCCCATTTCTTTGAGCCAGTGCAGATAAATAACCACCTCAAACGACGAAGCTGTGAAGCAAAGTGCTGCGAATAAAACAATGCGTTATCTTCCAGAAGGGTATTAAAGCGAGACATTTCAATCGTCTTTTTGGTCCAAAATATAGTTCAGCTAGCCACCCTGCCGCGTAAAATCAAACAGCTCACTGTGTTCCACAAACAAAGATAAGCAACGCCCCAAATTAAAATGGCTTATCTGAAGTGCGCCCGCTTATTTGGCTTCATTCCAACAGTTTAGTCTTCAAAGGTCACGACTGCCGAGATTACACCGCTGTTCATTATGGTTACGGAGCGAGCGAAGCGAGCGTAGTCTTTCCTTAGATTAACGGAAATTTCTGAGTATGAGCGGCCGGCCGGCCGGCCGGCCGTGCGGACGCTTTTGCGAGGCTTATATCTCAGCAACCACTTGACCGATTTACACGGGGTAATTTTTGTAGGGTAGCTTCATTCCTTCTACCAAGTATTGGACTATTCCCGATGCATGTGGGTGACCCCTTATGCACGTGCCACGCGCAAAACGAAGAGGTGCCAGTTTTGTAATTGTTGCAATATCTCGGTAACTACTTGGCCGATTGCGTTGAAAGTTGGCATGTAGGTAGGCACCCACTAGGCACTGCATATCCATGTGCCAGAGTTGGGGTGCTGCTGCACGTGCGCACGTGCAGGGGTCGTTTCCAGATCTCGAGAACGGCTGGACCGATGGCGCTCAAATTTGGTACACGGTTAAGGACCAGTTAGTAGGGTGCCGTGCACAAGTCAGTTGGGACCCATTCTGCACGTGCGCACGTGCAGGGTGCCGCTTCCAGATCTCGAGAACGGCTGGGCCGATTGTGCTCAAATTTGGCACATCGCTAGAGACCGGTTAGTAGGGTGCCGTGCACAAGTCAGTTGGAGGTACCCCCTCGAAATTTCGCACGTGCAAGGCTCACCCTCTCGCTCGCTCCGTTAGTCGCCCCAAAAGGCGCTATACTGGTTTTAGAGGAATCCAGAAAAACAATAAAAATAAAATAACTGTGGCGTGAAAAAGAGACATGAGGAGAGACAAGAAAAACGTAAATCGGTGCTTTCAATAGGTGGACAAGCATTCAGGTGATTTTAACCCTCGCCCGTAAACGGCGATCTGCCACCTTCGCCCATGCAGGGGGGGGGGGGGGTTGGTGCGACCCCCCCCCCTTGGCGTTTGAAAACGGAGCGTCGTAGAGCTTAGCGGAAATCACCAACGGATTGCTCTCGCCGAGATCTCGCGATTGGTGGTATATTTTTTGGTCCTAGGTCAACATTTGACCTACTTTTGACCGGTCAAAGGTCAAATTTTCGGAAAAATAGACTTTTTTCAACTTTCCGCGGCGATTGCGGCAAAACGGTGGGAGATATCGACTTGAAACCTTCACTATCGTGTTCCTTGATCAATTCTCTATCGTTTGGTATGTATTTCGTTTCCCTAGCTCTAAAAATGGCGCGTTGGGAGCGCCGGAAGTCGGCAAGGTCACAGTCGGCGGCAGAAATTCGAAAAATCAAAATTTAAATTTTTGAAATCTGATTGTATTTTTGGATTTGGGAGGTCCATTTGCTCCCTATAGAAGCTAATATTGCTGCATATTCCCACTGAGGTGACAAGAATTAGCAAAATAGTGGTTCGGGCGCTTTTCAAAAATAGTACCGGACGCTGTTCCTCTTGTGACGTCATAGCTCCGTGACCTGACCTGACCCGGTCAAGTTTCTTATACCATATGATAGCCAATACTTGCCCCAACATGCATGGGAAGTTTCATCACGATCCATCAACCGATGTCCGTACCACCGGCAGGAAACCTCGGGCGTTGGCACTCAGTTTGTGAAAATCCGGCCGGAGGCTGTTCCCTTTGTGACGTCATAACTCCGTGACCTGACATGACCCGGTAAATTTTTTTTGTCAAAAGATGTGCAAGGTTTGCCCCATAAGTTACCCAAAATTTGGCGGCGCTGCGCGCCGCCGTTTTTGCACTATTTCCGAAAAACCTCAGGGGGGGTTGCACCAACCCCCCCCCCCCTACATGGGCGAGGGTTAAATCATGGCAAATTCTATAAATGATCGAAAAAGGGCATTGCGTTAGCCCAGTTTAGCACAGTAACTAGAAACCGTCAGCACCTGTTTTCCGCTAAGGTGTCCGCCTGTCCGGTTTGTTTTGCGGTCACTGAATTACAGCTTAATGTGCAAAAACAACGGCTCTCAAAACAACAAAATACTGTCATGTCATATTCAGTCACCGAAGTAAACTTCTCTGTCATGCATATCAATACAGTGCGACAGCCTGAAACGAAAACCTTTGAAACTCACCAGGAGACTGAAATGGACAGAGACCATTCACAGACCACCAGAACACCAAATAGACCACGTCCGCTATGCATGCTATCGGCTGGACACAATAGCGTGTGTTCGATCATGCCAGGGTGCGTTTGTAAAGAAACGTAGGGAAAACGTCGCCGAGGCTGGGAAGATAGGTCGATTATAGTAGTCAGAAAACTTACCGCCGAACGAATCTTCTCCTGAAAATCACCGAAAGGTGTTACTACAAAGCCAAGCCGGACAGCAACTGGCGCGAAACGGGGAGCATAAAACTGACTGATATGCAAAACACCCATGGCGCAGTATGTACCAACAGAGCAAGACTACATGATAGACTACTGTGTTGTTAAATGAAGCAGCGGTGAGACCAATTAGTACCGTTAGCAAATGCAGCTGCAAACATACGAATGTCCCCATCAGAAACAACGGGTGTGCAATACCACCACATTGATAGGGTTTTCTAGCGCTCATATTTTACCCCATCTGGTTTAATATATGCAATGTAAGCCGTATGTAAAGGCAGACAACACAAGCAGCAGACAACACAAAACAGACAAGACAAACACATTCTGCCCACAATGAACTAAAAAGAGATCACTGCCTGCCACCAGTCCCTACGAACTATGCCCTCTCAGTCATGCAGAGTAAATCGGATGACAAACGCGATTAGGGTAAATGAAGGGTCCCAAACTTGCATCGGGTTTCTTTTTGCGAATGTGTGTTTGACAAAGCATGCACCCACCCAATGTCAGAAACAAAACCATTAGTACCCATAAAAATAACTCGATTCATGCTTGAATTAACAAAGGTACCGTGTGAAATCCATCTAGCGGGATGCAGTGCTAAACACATCGTCCCACTCCTTGTGCTCATCAATACCCCAACAGCATAAACATTACCCCCCCCCCCCCCCTTTGACCCAGGGCCGCCAAACACCTACTAAATAAACTTCCTCGCGTACCGACCGACCAGCCACCACACGCGCTGGATTCACCCTACACACACCAGCCGATAGAGAACCTCAAGACGACAGCCAACGCACAGCTAGTGACAGCTAAAGAACAGCTCACGACAGCGAACGCACAATTACCTATCACAACTAACGTAGGTACAGCGTGCGACAACCCACGTGCAGTTTCCTGTTCGACAGCTACCGTGCAGTATCCGCACCTGTGCGTCTGTCGTAGTGTATGAGCGGCCTCAGCAGCTGTTTGTACTCATCCACCTGCTTCTTGTCGCTTCGGAACACACCGTCGATGATCATGTACATGTAGAACAGAGGCCACTCGCTCTCGATACGCTCAAACTTCTGTGGACGTGAGAGAACGGGGGAGAAGACAGGGAGCAGGGGACGGGTCAGTCATGGGCCCAACTCAGTCGCTCAAACTTCTGTGGGTGCGGGGGAGGTCACGCCAGGGTGCGGGGGAATCGATCAGTGCGCTGTGTCTTGGACTGAACCTGACCTGGATCATAAGGCACATTAGGACGAAAGTTCTTCTTTCTGGAACTGAAGCACACGTCGAAGGGTCATGCACTTGATGAAATGAAGCATGCCCGTACTATTCAACAGTAATTAAAAAAAGTGTGCGCGTAGCAACTAGTGCCAGTCAATGAACTGCAAACAAAATTTGATCCAGAAAGCAGCAAAATTTCCTTTTTGCATATCGAACTATATTCTTTCGGTCCTATTCTTGTCTCTGCTTCATGATACATAGCCTCAGCACATCAAAAATCGTTTCTGCCTCCATTTGTACAAATATGATGCGATATATTCCTTCTATATGCCTTCAATACCTGAACGGTGCTGTCCTTGTAGAATCGTTCCGAGCTGTCTTCCAGCACCGTTCCGAACCCGTCGCGGGCGAACCGCTTGAAGCCGTGCCTTCCGCGCAGTTTCTGCACAATTTTCGACTTTGTTTTGGAGTAGAGCAGCTGGTCGTGTGTTCCGAACGCCGGGAACGAGATGGCCATCATCAGAGCCATGTCGCTCGACTGGGGAGAGAGGGGGAGAGGGGAGAGAGATTGTCAGGCCATTCATCACCTGATACAGCCATAGCAAATTCAGCAAACGTTGCAAATAGTACACACAAAATACACCAATTCTATTACTGACTTCAGCTAAACACTTCCACTCGTAAGTTTCAAATGAATTCATCACACCGTTAATTAGTTCCATTTATCTCTACTTCACCTCATCACATTGAATGACCATCGTCTCAACAGTCAACACCCAGCGCCGTTTCCCACTCGCCCGCTCGCTGCGTACCGTAGAGCTGGACTCGCGCGGCAGCAGCGTCTCGAAGATGGTCCGGTTGCGGTTGTGGGCGTCAATATCGACATAGACGACCGACTGGGAGCTGCCGTGGTCTCCGAACAGGTTACAGCCGTTCACCGCCTCCAGCGCAGACTTGGCCAGACCGATCGAACTGAGGCGAGAGGGAAAAAGTCAGACCGATTGAACTTCGACATAGACGAACAAAAATACATCTAGGCAGAGTACAATTCAGTTGAATTCTAAACAACGCGGGCCTGACTAATCCAAGAGTCGAGACTGAAATCGGCAAATAAGTGATGCTTGCATGACGCGTGCCTGAGCCACCTGTTGTTAACGACACCTTTACACCTACGTAAATGATCTGGCTGTTGGCTCTCAGGCACTACCATCGATAATTCTTATTACCGACACCAGCCTCTCACGTCTCACCTACCCACACAAATAAGCCCTCGTCTCTGCACCATCCCTGCGACCATATCCCCCACCTGGCGTGCAGCTCGGACGATCCGTTGTTGTACTTGCTGCCCCGCTGCCACATGCCAAAGTCGGGCGTGCGGTAGGCGCGCTCCACGTAGTACACCAGGTTCTGTACCAGGTTCACCTCGTCGATGGTGAAGACGATCTGCAGCCCGGAGGCAGTCATCTGTACCAGGAACAGCAGGTACAGCGATACCACGTCGATCTGAGGACGAGAACAGAGCGCCAGGAGCGTCAGACGAGCGCCCGGTGGGCAGGGGGGGGGGGCATCCCCGGGGGCGTGTAATGAAGAGCAGTTATTAGAAATTGTCCCCAGCGGGATAGGACAGTCAGACGCAGGGCAGATGTGAACAGTGATGAGTGGATAATGAGTTTGTGATACTGATGAAACGAGAAGCGAGTAAGTAACAGATCCAGATCGAGAGAGTATCAGATCGTTAGCATGAAAACACGGCTTGAATTCGATACGTTTAGCAGGGGTTCGCACGAATAAAGCAAACTGCGACGTGGGTGGTTCGAAAAATAAGCGTCAAATTATAAACAAAGTGCTTATCCCAAAAGTTGACAGGGCTCAAAGTAAATACGATAAAAGAATAAATGCTGATGAATGGCTCAGACATAAGATAAGTAGCGCTCTGTGCCGCAAGAGGAGGGCTATCCCATTTCCCTCTTATTCACACTGTCTTTCATCGCAAACACGCCACATTAAGGTCGAACACTGTCTTTGCAACCATCCGACTGTGCACTGCATAAAAATAAAATCAGAAAGCGATCCAAAGCCCCTCAGGTTGCCGAAACATGTCCACCGTTGCACACAATATGCCCAGCAACAGAGCATATGGGCCTAGAAACCCCGAAAGCCTTCAGGAACAAAAACTGCACAGTCATGCTCAACAACCAGTCTCACTGGTCCATGGCTACCATGTTATTTCCATGCATGTCATTGCGGAACAGGGCATATAATCGGCTTCGGTGCATTTCGGCATACATTTAGCTTAGATACGCCGCGGAGCCGCACGCGCCCAGAGTGACCCAGACCCCGCTCAGAGACTGATATCGGATGAATAGGTTAACGGGTGATAAATCAGCATATCGTGCGACGTTCAATGACAGACCAAGGTCACTGCTGGTAGCAGCACTGACCCACCAGGGACCCGGAAGGGAAGCGTTGCCGCTGTTGTCAACTCGTGCGGGCATGCTGCAGCACTGGCTTTAGACATCCGGCTATGGAATATGATTTCCTAGCATTATAATATCGTGCAATAGATAAAAACTGACACGCAAAAAGGACAGGCTACAGACAGGCAAGTTGGCGCGGTGTTGAAACCACTTGTAGATGTGAGTAAAAGGCTGAAGAATTTAAATTCGATTATGAAGAAAAAAGGATAGGCATTCATCAAGATCCATGACTGATCCGTCGCTCTTATGAAATAGTTAAATCACTTTCCATGGTTTCGATTTGAAGGTGTTGTCATTATGTAAGCTACTTAAAGAAGGAATATCGTGGAGGGAAAGTAAAAGTGAAAGCGAGGAAGTCGCAGGCCCTTGTTTGAAAGAGGCCTCTTTCCATGGACAGCTTCAACTTCAACTTCAACTACTTTCTTGGCCATCGCATTATTCTCATACATCAGTCTAGTTACCGAGGACAAAATTCAGCAAAACTCGCAAGGGTATAGCTAAACTGGTACCACAAAGCAAGCAATTTTTGGTATTACACTAAACTTTTAACGTAAATCAATGCTTCAGCCTGTTGTAATACATAATAAGACCTCAGCTCAAACCACAAACGCGGCAGGACAATCAGGACGGCTTAGTCCGGTCTCAAGACATTGTGGCCAAGAGTGAAAGTGCTGAGTTCATTGATGGATTAAATTTGATGAGTTTCTGAAACTTAAACCCGTACCTGCGTTGATTACTTGAAACCGGTTGTAAAAGGACAGATTGTCCGCAAGCGAATGCTAGTGAATTCCTCAATCGTGTTTGGCTTACGTTAAGATCAGTAGAGCGTTATCGGGCAAAACTTCTTCTCCAGATCGCCCATCGCCGCATATTTACCGAGGATAGTGCAATTCAATAGTTTAGGAGCAGTATGCGTTTCCAGTTAGTGACACCGAGTCGATCGCACTACAGTCCACTGTTCACAGAGTGAAATCGTTACTAGGGAAGTGAATTCACTGGCAATATTCGTGACGTGGGGGCGGCAGTGAGTGCACCGATGTGGTAAAAGACCGGGTGGCTAAAGGGCAGGGTGTTTATCACTGATACCGAACATTCAGGAAGTGTCGACATATAGCTGGTATCTGCGGAAAAGTACAGTGAGCAAAGTCTATTAATAGTCCCGTCAGATTCCGCAATACGTCCAAACCTGATGCATTCAATACGTGGTTGTTAATGTATTTCAAAGATCAGGGCATAGCGCCGTTTTGAAATAGCATTAGACCAAAGGAGGCAATCGAGTGGTAGTCATGAGTCGTAAATCATTATAACCACAGCAAGGGGATTACCGTTAGACAAAATAACAACGAAATACAGCCAGTCCTGCGCCGATGTTCCAAGAACTAAACAGTAAATAATCAAACTACTCCATGACGTAATGCATCCAGGATTCATGACAAAACAGCCGAGATCCATGACGTAGTTAGTATGTGTCAAATTTCCATTGATTGTACGGTTAAAATCTCGCATACCCCACCTCATTCCCTCTGAACCAAATCACACGCCTCCACCAGCTCGCCTCCCCTCTCACCTGCAGATGATTGTACTGCTCACATGTGAGCACCTCGTCGCCGGTGACCAGGTGGAACTTGGAGTGCAGCGCATTGTGCGTCGTCTGGTTAGCTTTGAACCGCTCCACCTTGTCCGCCTGTTTCATCCACGATCGCAGGATGCCGCGCATACACTTGACGACAGACTGGCCGAGCTCGAACGTCTTGCCGCGGTCGTCGTCAATGCGTCTGGGGAGGCGCATAGTCCGTCAGACTGGTAAGTGTGGTATAAAATAGGCGGGAGGGGGGGGGGGAGAGAACAGAATACGTCAATGGGCAAGCAGAAGGAGAATTACGGTGTATCAGATGGTAGAACCAGACTATGAGAGAGTGCGTTGGAATAAGTTCAGGTTGACATGATGGGAAACATAACCGGCCACTCATTAAATACATGGTATAAAAACTGGCCATCATAACAAAGACCATCATCATAGCCGTTGATTGATCATGGGGCGAGCGAGCTATCAGCTGTCGGTGCGTACAGTCACGTTTCGGAGTCTATCAATACATTCAATCACGTTTCTGCTCTATCAGTGGGCCAAAGATCAAGTGCGCATATCGGCCGAACGGCAACGTCAGTTGAGCTACGGACAACGCGAGGGAATGCGAGCTCAAAAACATGGACCATCCCGCCCTCAGGGGACACTAACAAACGGCCGCAGCGCACAAAAACCCGCCTCCCCGCGCGATCGGCGGCGCAGCCTTGAGCCGCGGCCGGACGGGGCACGGCGGGTAAAAACGATTCACAGATTCCGCTACGGTACAGCACGTGCCCGCCTCGAGGCCGGAGAGTCAGACGCCCCCAGAACTTTAAACATTTTTTTTTTCACATCTTTATTTATTTCACATCTTTATGATTCAAAAACAAATAAACAACACACTAGGAAAGAAACAAACAACACACAGCACCAGTCAGGCATAGCTACAATTAATGAGCAGTGGAGTGGCGGCAGGTGGCGCCACTCGTCTCCTGCATGGGTCCAGATGGCGCCACGCATTGGCGGCAATGAGAAAGCCAACTTTAAATTAAAGAAAACATTAAACAGCAAGAAAACATTAAACACAAAGCTAATAACAGAACGGGTAAACAGGATGCACGTTTCCATGATACAAGCTCATCGGCGGCGGCAGCGCAGCCCGTGGCGGCGGACAGAGTCAGACTGCCGGGAGCAGCTTCTGGCAAGGGCACCGCCGGCAAACAGTTGACGATGGGGTTAAAAGCGCCGAGACTGCTGAAGCCGTAATAACTGTCACGCTCACGTTTAAGTTTATACTATGTAGTATGTTGTACAAGAGCGGAGTTGTGCAGCAATGATAGACGGCACCACCCGCCCGCCACGACCCCGCCGCCCGCGTGTCTCATCCCATCACATCGCTCAAGGAAAGGGAAGGAAGTGAAAGCTAGGAAAAGAAACAAATTAAAAAAAAAAACTTGCTCCTTTGTGGTGTGGCCCGCCTGGCCAAGCCGGGGCGGTGTCCCATCGTGGACTAAAGAACCGCCCCGGCCCCGGGGAGATCTGGGGGATACCTCCCCAGCCGGGGAGAGCTGTGGGTTACCTCCCCGGCGCTCCAGGCGGGCCATCAGCCACCGCCCGCGCCGCCCTGCGAAGGGGTATCGCGGGCGGCGCCCCCTATCCACCGGCCGGGCGTGCGAGCCGTCGACTTGTAGGGCCGGCGCCCCGCACGCCCGGCCGGCCGACCGGCCCCAGTCAAAGAGGCCGGTCCCGGGTTGGCCCGGATGGGTCATGGGAGCGGTGGCTGATCATCAGTTTATACATGTATACATACATACATGGAACATGAGCAGCATTCCAAAAGAGCAATCAAAGTTACGGCGCTCGGCCGCCAGGGTTGCTGGCAAAGCTCCTCTGGCAAAGCTCCTCTCCTCCTCGCGCTCGGCCCTGAAAGCTCCGGTCATTTAAATCGACTAGGACTAAGTTCCACTTTTTGTTGAAACTTTCAAAATCGTTTTGCTTGGCAGCGATAAAGTTCTCAGATTCAAAATCCCATTTTAGGGATAGCCTAAACTGGTGAAAGGATGGGCGAACTTCTTTATATCTAGCATCATAAATCACGTATTTTGCCAGTGTCACTATATGCGTTTTCAGCAAACTTGTATCGTCTCCATATATCTTGACTTTATCGTTTAACTGACCAATTCCATTTCTCGTAAGATATTGCGATATCTCCAGCCAAAAAGCTTGAACGTGTTGACACTTTAGGAATAAGTGTAGTAGAGACTCTTGGTTTACACCACAGAAGGTACATAAGTCATTTTCTCTAATGTGTATCATGTGTAAAAAGGAATTTGTTGTTAAAATTCGCATTATGAGCTTATAATGAAAGGAGATATAACGTGTTGCACGCACACTACCTTTGACAGTGAGCAGAGATTGCTGTTCAAAGCAGCCAATGTCCCGATTCCACTTTCTCGTGATCCTTGCTATATCGCATTGCATCCCATGAGCGGTTGTTTTTATTAGCCCAAGTGCCAATGTTTTTGTAAATGTTCTATTATTTAAAAGATAGTATATGCGGGCAGATATTGACGGTTGATTTTGACGCCAGTTATCTGGTTGGTTCTGTTGGTATACTCTAGGTAAGCTACGCACTAAACCGTAATAATCCAAGTAATTGCAAGGGATATTATAAGTCGCTCTGAAGTTTTGCCATGTCAGTAGCTCGTTACCGTTGAAATAGGTCTCCAATTACACGTATTCCTCTACTTTCCCAACTTCGCAGTCGCGAGCTCTGAAATTTGGTGAAGTCTGAATTGAATACATTTTCATCACATATTTGTTCATCCGGTATTATAAAGACACTAGAGAAATGCAACCAGGCTACGACCACATCTTTCCAGAAGGGATTCTTTATTTCTTTCAAAACCTTTTTCAAAGCTTTTACACCATAATTCCATATGAATTCGTTTTGCATCTTTACTGGAATAAGTGATTGCCAGGCACTCTGTTTGCCTGTTATCAGTCTTTTTATCCACTTTATTTTAAGAGATCTGATGTACGATGAAAGATCTATCATTCCTAAACCATTGGAAGAAAGAGGCTGGCATAGTCTTAGCCTTTTAAGTGGGTTTCTTTTGGAGCCCCAAACGAATGTAAATATTATTTTGTTAATCTCCTTCACAATTTTTTCACTGGGATCAGGTAATGATGATAAAAGGTGTGTCATTTGAGACAATAACAATGTTTTGGCAATGGTGATTCTTCCGACTAACGTAAGATTTCGATTTTTCCATACTCCGATTGTTCTCAAGATTGCATCTTTTTTCAGGGATATATTTTCATCGACTATATTCTCACAATGAGGGTTAAATACAATACCAAGAAGCTTAATTTTACGGACCCAGTTTACAGGTATATCAGGGCATAATGTCTCGTGTGTATAGGCCTTGTGTCCTATCCACATTGCGTTGCATTTTGAAACGTTAGGTTTCAATCCTGAGAATTTGGCAAACCATCCAAGTTCACCGAATACGGCTCTGATGCTTTCTTCCGTGCCATCAAGGAAAAATGTTGTGTCATCTGCATATTGTGTCAGTTTAACCTCAGTCTGTCCTATTTTTATTCCTTTGTAACTGCGGTTGCTTCTGATTTTATTTGCAAGGATTTCTGCTCCAATAATAAAGAAGTAACAAGATATCGGGTCACCTTGTCTACAGCCTCTCTCTATGTTTATTGGTTGCTTTGACAGTTGTCCGTTATAAATGATCCGTGAAAAGGTCTGTGCGTGCAAACACCAAAATGTGTTAATGAAATTTGGTCCAAAGTTAAACTTCTTCAGACAACATTCCAAGAACCTCCAGCTCATTACATCAAATGCTGTCTGGAAATCTATTGATAATAATATGCCGTCAAGGTTTTTGCTGTACGTTTCCATCAACATATCGTAAGTAACACGGATATTTTCGCCAATAAACCTGTTTTTCAAAAACGCTGTTTGGTCTGTGTGAATGATAGAATCTAAAACCTTTTTCATTCTATTGGCGAATGTTCCAGACAAAATTTTATATGTTGAATTTAAAAGCGTGATAGGCCTCCAGCCGGATATCAAATTTCTAGGTTTTCCGGGCTTAGGAACTAGGGTTATAATTCCTTCTCTTTGTGTTACTGACAGCTTACCATTTTTCAAACCATAATCCAGGGATCTAAAGACAAAATATTTCAAATCAATCCAAAAAACTTTATAAAATTCGTAAGGAAACCCGTCAGATCCAGGACTTTTATTGTTGCTAAACTTCTGCAATGTTTCCCCAAGCTCATCGACAGTTATTTCCTTTTCCAGACATTCCCGTTCAACGTTATTGAGCCTAGGAAGCTGAACTCTGAGAACTTTAAACATTGGGACACATTAAACAATTTTATGTCGTGAAGTGGATTTAAGATAAACTATTCCCAATACATTTCCTTTTTCGTATCCCATAGCAGTCTCGTTTCAAGAGCTCATAACGGCAGCGCTCAATGCAGCGCGATTAATGCGTCAAAACGTTTTGTTTGATGATGACGATTTGGGGGTTTAGGGCGCTTAAAGGGACCCTCCCACCTTAACATTAGATTTGAGTTGAGATAGCCAAAATGGGGTCCCTGGCTCACAATTACCGGTTTCGGCACTCACAACATCGAGAAATACCTTAAGTCGGAAATATTGAATTTCAAAATTGCAGCATTTTGATTCAGAGGGGCTAATGCATAGGAATACCCCTCTGAATGTGTGACGTCAGCGCAGATATCTAACGATTTTTAAATGTTTGACTAAAACGTTTTGTAGCACGCGGTAGTATATCCTGCTTTGCGCGCAACAAATGCCGCACTTTCAAATAAAGTCGCTAGGAACAGCGGAGATCCCAAAAAGTAAACAAAAGTAAAAGTCTAATATCTTGAAAACCGGTGAATATTTTTCGATGAAATTTGGTAGATATTTGTTTTTGCTCTTTCTGAACCGAGCGACATCTTTTTAATCCCAATTCATTAACTTTTTTGAAGGTGGGAGGGTCCCTTTAAACGTTTGGTTTCGTGTAATTTATTTTTGCTCATATGATAACTAAGCTATGCGATAAGCCACACGTGGCCACACGTTTCTAATTATAGTTCTACGTTAACCATTGGCAACGCATTACACAACAAACTCAACTTGTGTCATCACAACCAGGGATAGTGTGGTCACAAGGACATCATCCCTGCGACATCGAACCAGGGACGTCAACGCAGAGCGTTAACAATACATCACTCGTGTTTCGAACGGTGAAGTCGACTCACTTAAAGGCCTGGTGGAGACACCAGATTGAAAGGCGCATCAGAGACCGTGTCACATGTGGATAACGCTAGACGGGGAGAGGACGAGGGTCCCAGCTCACTTGAAGGCCTGGTTAGAGAGGACAGCAGCTCACATGTAGGCCTGGTGAAGACACCAGATAGAGAAGGCGCAGTAGAGGAGAGGACGGGTTCCCAACTCAGGCCTGGTTAGAGAGGACACTCACTTGTAGGCCTGGTGGAGACACCAGATGGAGAAGGCGCAGTAGAGGCTGGTCCGGACGTCCGATACCACCCGTTCCGCCGAACTCTCCGGAAACTGGCCGGTCATGAAACTCTGGTTGGCAATCAGCTGCCGCTTCACTGAGGAACATAACGGACAAGGCTCAGACAGGGTGCATTTTCGGGGTACATCGATTCTGGTTTTCCTATCTCAGCCCAACGGTACTTTATAACAACTCAATAAATGTATAGCAGCACATCAAGACTAGCGACCAAAATTTAGCACCGACTATTCAACTACGTCCTACGAGTACAGCAGCACCCCCCATGACATCGTATTTTTCGGCATAATAGCATGCCGTGGCATAACGTTACGCATAACCCTCGCAGTTCAGGCGCCCTTCAAACCTTCTCTAGGCCTGACACTGACACCCATCCGTACATCCAGAATACATCCATTACACCCCAAATACACCCGTTACACCCAAGCACAACACGGCAGCATCACTCACCGACGCCGTAGTAGTGGTCCAGCCTGCCGACGGTCTCGTCGTAGTTTTTGATGCGGCTGAACGTGTCCGGGTCCATGTCTCCGATGCTGAACGTGCGCCCCATGCGGCGACTGTGCACGACGCCCGACAGGTAGGCGGCTGTCGGCGTCGGTGTCACCTTCATGGTTGGAATTGTGCAGATGGCCGACGGACGACGGCCTGATGAGCGGGGAGGGGAGGGCGAGAGGTCAGCAGGGTCAGCGCTCGGGAGGGCACTGGCCTAAGGGCAAGAAGAGTCACTAGCAATTTAAGATATGCCTTATCTTTTATATAAGCGACCACGAGCTTCGTTGAAAGTGACCGATTGAGTTAGGTAATGAACGGCAAAAGTTACGGGTAGTTGCATCAGATGGATACTTACAACCAGCCAGGGAAAGTTACCCGTTCTAATCTTACTGAGATGACTAATGAGTTTTCAACATCGTAAATAATTGATGGAATAAAACAACTGGTTTTAAGTGTTGGTAACAACTGGAAATAATTCTAGAGACTCAAGTTTTGACACCTGCGTACTAAAGCGTTGGGCGGGAACTGCGAATCATGCCACCTACGGGGTTATGTAAGACCCACCAAACTTCCTTATGGCGGCATGTCCGTCATTAGCTGCTGGTTACCATGACAACAAAGTACCGGCATCACTGACATCGCGACATGCACGAGGCCGGCACACGTGCAGCCGGGGGCCCAGGGGCCACCGCACAGAGCTACATTCCGATCCGTCCTTGGGGCTGGGGACACCTCAGCGTGGCATTTAGTACCATTTAGTACCGTGCATGCAACCAATCCCCGTGGTAAACGGCTAACCGGCAAAAATGGACATTGGACATCCTTCTCTAGGTATCCAAGCATGCGGATAAAAGCTACTCAAAGCTACTCAAACAGTGATAAGTATTATGAAAGATACATGTAAAAGATCAAAGCTGGAGATGCGCAGGTGTCAAAAATGGACCGAGTTGCTGCGCAATGCGCATCCATCCATTGTGATAAGTAGCTCGGGCCTCGGCCGTTGTGTTTCAGTGCACTGCGCAGTACCACTTGGTACACGGGTTGCGCAGATTGAGAGCTTTCACCGCCGGGTTCTGTCACCGTCTGTCATGCCGGTAATACCTCACCGAAACGCGAGGGTGGATCACAGTCGCCGTGGCCATGGGCGCGCTCACTAGGGCGAGAGCCGAGCCGGGGCGGAGAACAGGAGGCCAGAATGATGGACAAGGCTGCTACATTCAGTATGCATCTACCCATCGTCATAAGCGATCACAAGTTGCGATTAAAGGTTGTCGTCGCCATTTCATTGCACAATTCAAATGCAACCACGGGGAATAACCGAACATGTCCGAAGCTTCATCTATCAGGGATCTGAAGGGCTAAGTAGTCAGTGTGAATCACTGCATTATAAACTGTAGGTGATTATCAACTTGCACATCCTCAGGAAGTGGTGATAATAGCACCGAGCCTCGCAAACGTTCATGAAATGTCCATGAGCGCGGCTTATCCAGCTGAGCTCATCTCATATTTTGCAACGTCACCGCCGTAACTAGCTGGCAAGGCTTGCGGTGGCGCAGTTTTACCTCACGGACGCGCAGTTTTACATCATGCTGTCAGAGGGTGGCGAAACAAACGGGGGGGGGGGGGCTCCATCACTGGTCCTGCCGATAGCAAGGACAGCCGCAGGGCAACAAAAGGCAGGCAGAAGTTCCACCTTCTTCGACCGGGTGATGATGTGATGTAAATAATCAGATCACCCAACTGTGGTCAGCGAATGGAACAGCGCTCCGAAGCTCAAACCTTTCAGCTCTGACCCCCACCTCGGCCCCGGCCAGTGCGACATTCAGCCAGCCGGCAGTGGTCACGGTGTAAAGACACGAGGCTGACCGAATGTCATCACTTGGTCACCACGCACCTCGCAGCACGTCGAGTGTCGAGATCGTCAGGCGAACACTCGTATGAATAGGTTGTAACGAGATGTAATAGTGTCACACTTTCTTGTCATCAGTGATGAGAGACTGTATTGAGACTAATTGGGGCGATAAACTGATGCTGAAATTAGGCTAGCGGGAAGGGCAAGGACCTGAGCTAAAGCGATGCTGAACTACTTACGGGGGTGTTTTGTGTAAAGCTACAGAGATAACGACAATGACAAACAATGTTATGTCATAATCGCGACGTGACCTTCTTCATGATGACGCGATTAGAGTACGGCTTTGCATAACTAGGTCACAGCGGACAAGGTCATGACCTCACAGCTTGGGAAATGCACCAACAGACTTTGTGACGCTCAGGCTATTGCCCAGCCACCTCTTTACCTAGTTGCCAGTACCCACCGGAGTTCAAGCCGTGCAGTGCAGCTCACCCCATGGCATGCCATGACACAGACAAGCCACGACCTCCGACACGTCAGCCATCCGGCAGAGGCGGTCTCGGGGTCAAGGCCCCGCGCTGGAGCAGGAAGCAGTCTCTGTGGGAGACTCTGTCCGACCGGCCGACCCCGCGAGGAACCGGTCACGGCTGCCGTCCCGACCCCGGCCCGGAGGTCGGCGGGCACCCCGGCCCCCGACCGGCCGGCGCCACCCGTCTGCTGACCAGTTCTTTAGCCAAACATCATCACATGTTGGCCGGCACAAGTGACCTCAGCTCAATGTAAACAGGTCGTGAAGCCCAAACAATGCTGTACTGATCATCCGTGGCACAGGAGTGCACAGCGGGAACCATCAGAGTGGTGCTGCTCAATTTTAATCGGTAGACAGCCTTCAAGAGAAGACATCCTTCAAGAGCCTTCAAGAGAAAGAGAAAGAAAAAAAACTTTAAGGGAACTGCGTCGGTGCGCTTTACATAAGGGAACCTTGAGAAATATAAAAGTTAACTACGCGGATGCCTATACTGCCTTCACTTTCTGCAACAATGACGCACATTTTCGGCAGCTGAGCCGCTTATCCCCCGGACAGAGCGTCATGGTAAAACCCGCCGCCATCTCCGGGCACCACCCGGCCCTGGAGGCAAGTCGGAACTCGCCGCAGACGGAGCATGACGCACCTGTGATCGGCTGAGTCACCGCCAGGTATACCGTGCACGGTGCACAACCCGTGCACAACGCGGGGCTCTCTGCAGACGCTGACTCACCGTGCGTCACCCGGCGCTGCCAGAACACAATGGAGATGAGCCGAAAATAGTAGCTACAGAGAAGGGAATCCTAATCTGAAAACGTCACGGATTCCAGTGACTAATATTTGGCTAATACCTGCACAAAACGGGCTAATTTCCTCAGTCTACGACGGGCTCAGTATTCCAGACTATACAGGATATAGCCGACTGATGGCGAGTCTGACGACTGCCTGCAGTGGTGCGACTGTTGCGTGTTGAGGGAAACCATTTGGCTATCGACGACTAGTGTAAACACTGGGCGCGCATGGTGAATGTGTGGGGGGGGGGGGGGCATCTCCTTGACACCGTTTAGATACAGTCGCAGAGGGAATGTCCAATGTCCACAAGCCAAACGAACCGCTTCCAACTCCGCAGAAGACGGTTGAAGACGCAAAAGATGGATTGGCACGCGGTGCATCAGCCGGACACGATAATTTCCATATCCATGTGACCACCATCAATAATTTATGTTAGACTCCTTATCACCGTCATAGTGGTAAGGCATTACTGTATGCTGTTGGCCTCTCACCACGTAGCAAAACCTCCGAATTGATCAACACTACATGACTCGGACGGCGGAGGCTCAACTGGAAAGTCATGGAGCGCTCTGGAAGAGGCCGGGGAGAGACGGGGAAAGTGTGCACGCGGCGACCCTGACCGCCGGCCGCGCTGGACGGCGCCGTGAAAGGCCCAGCTGACCGAACGAGGAGCAAGGGTGCCTACTCAACCGTGACGACAGCAACACACAAACGATCGGGCATTCTACGCTGGTGTGTTTTAAGCTTGCGTGCGGCTCTGAGCTTGTTAGTTGTAAGCTCAACAAAGCACAAACGAACATGCCGCCAGCGGAGCTGGAGGGGATCAACATCTAAGCTGTTTCACAGACAATGCATAGTTCTGGAGGAGGACGGCGCGGCGGTCGCCTTGTATAGCCCGGCTGATGGAAGAACAATGCGGCTCTGGGTAGCGACAAGGAAGGCCGATGGGCCCCCGACATTCTGACACGCCAACTGGAGCGCGGCTCACGGCAACAGGGAAAACCGGGCTCCAGCAGGAAGGACCCGATATCGGACGGAGTCAGCGTATTTACCCAGGCTTGACGCGGAACACAGTCTAAAAGGCTGCTGCTCCTTCACTGAACTAAATTCAGCTCACTGAACTGTGAACTACGCCAGGTTAACTAGAATAAAGCTATCAGTTTGAACACCGCAAGCCCTCCTACATCAATACCTGTCGGCGCATTCAAATTTATCCAGCACGCCATTCTCGCGGGGTTCAACAGGTACAAATAGATCCGTTGCAGGCATGGCTCTGTGTCGCGGGGTTCAGCAGGTAGAAATAAATCCGATGTGTGTGGGAGCGTGCGTCCGCGGATCAGACAGAAGCTTAGCTGCACGCCAGACCTCAGTTACCAGAAATCGCCGGATCAGAAATGTGCGTCATGGCTTGCGCCGGCTAAAATGTGAATAAGTCGCGTTTCTTAATAGTACAATATTCACTTAGGTACAGCTCCTTCACCCTTTGTCACAGCCAGTGGCGGTGAAAATGTCGTCTTTCTATATAGCTATAACAAGCCATCCAAATGTATGGCGGGTAAATTGTGTCCAGCGAAGATCCCCCAGGCTCGTTTCTGGTTTGCGATGCAGATTTCAGACATGTTTGCACCATACAGCGGCCAGGCTGGTTCCCAGCCCATCGAACAGCTTCTAAGCAAACCACAAGTTCTATGCAACGCCTGTGTTACCGAAGACGAAATAAAGAGACAACGAACCCACGACAGCTGCAAACCAAGCAGCCTTGGGGACTGGAGTCAAGGACTAAAATAGCATGTGGACGACAAATATTTTTTTCCCGTCTTCCACCTTATTCATCGTGTAACCCGTTACTCAGCCTCTGTGCACCAGCGATTGTTTCACAATCACAGCTGATCATTCCTGAGTGAATAACCGATTAATTCCAGTGCCCACGAACATGCCATGTCCAATGAGGAGGAAAAGCGCCGTTGGTCCACCCGAGGATCG